CTGGACTCAACCCCAGGTCCTTGGGATCATGACCCGAGCAGAAAGCAGATGCTTAACGACTAAGCCACCCAGGTGTCCCCACCACTTCTACTTCTTAAATTCCTTTGGGATCTGTTTCCTTCACACCGGCAATACCCCTGTACAGGCTGCTGTCTTCTTTTCTCTGGATTACTATAATGATGTCCCAACTGGTTTCTCTCCCTCTTGAACTTGTTTCCTTGCCACTCTTGAATTCCATTTTTCTCACACTAGCCAGAATCATCACCTAAAATATAAACCTAGTCATGTCAAAATCCTTCAAGCTTTCTACTGTCTTCAGTAAGAACTCCTTAACATGACTAGAATATTCATGATCTGGTCCCTGTTTACCTCCTGAGCCCTATGTCTGGAATCTGTGTTCCTAGACTGTGCTCTCCTCTCCTGAACCGGCCTTCAAATGACTTATTACCTCTATCTGCAGCACCTGTCTCTCCTGCCTTCTCTTCCCCCCCCCCCCCCCATCTGTTAAACCTGGCCAATTCCCAGATATTCTCAAGCATGGAGCCAATCAGGCTGAACTGCATTCTTTTAAAACATATTTTTATTACCTGCCTCCCTTCCCTATGAGAATGTCAGGTCAATTGTTGGATTGGTTTCTATCAATCTATTCACTATTATGTTTCTAGTATGTAGCTCAGCATCTGGCACAAAATTAGGGGCTCAATAAAGTTTTTTGAATGAAAAGATGATTGCCAGTAAAAGCCAGGAGGAGAGTCAACTAATTCAGACTGTAGATTAGGTTAAAAACTTCTTGAAAGGCCCTCCAAAAAATAAGTAAGGATAACTAAAAGTCAGGCAAAGAAAATCAGGATAGCCCAGACAGTCAACAAAAATAAGGTCTCAAAGTATAAAACTGCCTCATGACCCGGAAATGGGTGTGATGGGAGGTCAGGTTGGAAACATAAACAGTGACAAGATCATGAAGTTCTTAGCATGCCAAGCTATGAAGTTAAGACTTTACCTTGGAGGTGATAAGAAAGATGGGTGGAAGAAATATAAGCAGACAAGTGAAACGTCTAGATTTACATTGGGGACTGATCATTATGGCTCCTACTTACAAGATGAATTTGGGGGTGTGGGCAGGGGTGGTAAAGCTAGAAACAACACTAACGTAATGGAAATGAAAGGGATAAACTAAAATTGGAGTGGTTCATGCACCCTCCCAAGTGGATCTATCGAGAAGGCAAGGAAATTATTGGTCACCAAGAGGACATGACCACTGGTTGACCTGTGAGCTGGACACTGGCAACTGGAGGCTCCTCATTCCACCCCCCGTTCTTGGTATGTGTCCAGCTTGCCTTCTCTGCACCCAGAGGCTGCTCCAAGGACACAGCCTTGAGATAGTGATGTGCTGTTGAGACCCATCTGGATTGTATACGTGACTGAACGGATATAAACTTTCAAGATTTGGCAAGCAAGTCAAGAGATCTTCTCCTCTTGCAGCCACCCAAGACAAGTCTTCTCTGCAAGTTCCTTTGCTTATCCAACCCACTACCTACCAATCCAGCATGACCTACCTCTTTCTTTTGCCTCTCCCTGCCGTCCAACTATGGGCCTGGTTTCAGAATACACCTAGGAAGGCCCCAAGGAACTTGTGAACCAATAGAAGTGAAAGCCTGAATCTCAAGGGAGAAGTCTGGAACAACAGTAGTTTTAGGCTTCGTGAACAAACAGATTAAAACAGTGAGTGGATGATACGCCCAAGGAGAAAACACAGACAAAATAACAGTAACGATGATGATGATGACGACGATGATGTTGGAACTTACACTATTTAAAGAGAGTAGAGAAAGAGCCAGCTAACTATGAGTAACGAGAAGAAAAAGGAGCAAAGCAAAGGGAGTTAGGTTTCAAGGAGGGACTGATCAGTGGTAGTAATACAGCTGAGAGGTCTAGAAAGAGAAACACTGATTGGCAGCCCAGGCAAATGAGTAAGAGGAAGGTACGCGAGGCAGGGACGGACACGGGACGCAGGACCTTAAGGTGTGTGTTGCATAATAGCTTGAATTTTCTCAGTTAACCTGAAACAAGGCTAGTACTGGAAATGTGTGTGGCCCCTGGGGAACCTCTGTTCCAATGCATAGGTGCCTGATGGCAAGTAGGGAGTAGAATCTATCTTCGTATTTTTGCCCATTTCTACCACCCTAGATTAAGTGAACCAAGTTTTCGGCCTTACTGATCTGCTAAAAACAAAGCAGAAACAACAATTTGGAACCCCTCACTTTAAGAAGAGATCTGTTTATTTTAACCTAAAGTAGAAGCTACCACTTAGCACCACCTGCACTAAAGGTAAAGTCCCAGCTGCAGGCTGTCGTTGTCTCGCTGAGCATCCCCATCATGTCACTCCAAGGTCCACTCAGTCCTTACAGGTCTGTCATCCAGCCTGGAAAGTGCAAACTAGAAAGGGAACATGGAATTAAAATGAGATCAGAAACAGGTGAAAAACTAGATGCTTGTGAATGTGTTACATGCTTAAAAGCACCTTTCAGACCACACTGACCACCTTCTCATAAAGACGGGAGTTGAGGCTGGGAAGGGGTAGTTTGTAAGAAGGCACTGAAGGCTCTGAGGAAACTAACGGACTGTCAAGAAGCAGGAGGTGAGCCGAAGCTGGAGACCACAAATGTGTTATATACCCCTGTGTACTGTTTCCTTCAGGGAGACGAGCTCGGGACTTGTGGGATGCATTCAGGGCCACAGTTTTGACAGGCACCTGGGTCAGAGGCCTTAGACACAGGGAGTCTGGATGCTGATAAACCCTTCAGTCCAGGCTGGGAAGGGAGGCAATGGCCTGAGCACTGACAGGGAAAACGAAATAGAAGAGCAGATACAGATCATGTGAGGGTGTCCAGGTGCAGAAAACCAAGACGCCACAGTCATAAAGAATACTAGGTTCAATATTCTGCTGTAGGTAGTGTCTTTATGGAGGATGATTAAAACTCTAGAAAGTCTAAGTTGAGTTTTCCGCCATTCTACCCTCCACCTCACACTACTCGGTGACAGGCAACTGTATTTTTTAAAAAGTCATATTTATCCTTAGATAATTTCAACAAATACCCATTAGCCCTTTCATACTTTTAATTCTAATGTAACTATCAAATTGCCACACCTATGGTAAAATTATCCCCCAAACAAACCATGATATTGTAAAGTTGTCTTATTTTTCTTCCCATTGGGTCCGTTCTATTCTTGGGCCACATACAGGTCACTCTTGTCTTGTCTGGTTTCTCAACAGTTTAGATATTTGTTGAGTGCTTACCATGTGCATAGGGCCCAAATACAAATAATAATCAAAATAACAGCTAATTCTTATGGAGTGCTCACAATTCTGCTGGGCACTTAACATGAACAAATTCATTTAATCTTCATGACAACCTACAGATCAAATAGGAGCATTATCTCCATTTTGCAGAGGTGGAAAGCAGCTTAGTTAGGTGAAACCACTTGCCTGAGTCCACATAGGCAGTAAGTAGTGTGACCAGAAATTGAAACCCAGCTACTGATTCCAGAGCTGTGGCCTCCACCCTTAGGTGTCTCCCCTTTCCCTGCCTCTAAGGAGATGTGCTCCAGTGGAGGATAAGTGAGCACAAGTAACACATTTGATTTGGCAAGTACCAAAAAAAGGTCTTTTTTTTCTTCCGTCTTTCTCTCTCCTTTCCTCACTGACTCTCTGAGATCTTTAAAATTCGATTGTCCTAACCTCCTTTTGAGTTTTACTACATTCTGACTTTGAGATTTACCTAAGTACATGGACTTAAGGAAAAAGAAGCCCTAAACCACTTAATATGAAACGTTATTTTTGTTAGAAATGGGCATACACTTCTCTATCAATACTCACAAAAAAAAGCACCAGAATTTGTCTACTTCCAACACAATTTTTCTAGCATGACTTTTCACTTTATCCAGTCCAGACGCCCCATCCAACATAGGACCTTCACCAGCTCCTGCAGTCGGACGCGAGTCCCATTCTGGCCTCGAATGCCCCAAACCCAAGGAAAACCTCACGACCGCTCCACCGACACTCGTTCGCTCCTGCCTTGCGCGGCAGAATGCGGACTTGGGGTCATGTATGAAGCACCTTTCACTCGGGGACGTGCACATTTGGGGGAGTCGGTGTCGGAAGCACCTGCCGGGCCGGCTGCTGTGGAGACGCCCGGAGGGAGGGAGAAGCTAAAAATCAGGAGGCCTGGCTTCTACTCTCAGCAGTGCCGCTTACTACAAGCCGGGAACAAACCACTTCCAAGCCCCCGTCTGCCGGAAGGACCTCAGCTTCCTTTCGCCTCTCCAAGCCGGAAGAAGGGGATTGGGGTCTGGATAGTGGTTGTGCTGCTGGTGAGCCACCGTGCCCGTCCTCGGCCGGCTGCGCGGCCTCCCTGGTTGAGATCCCTCGTCTGAGGACGGCATCTACTCGCCCCCTTCCTCCTTCCCCTTTTAGTGAAGCCAAACACAGAAGCCGAGCGCTCACACTCGAGGTCAGAATAGCGGCATCAGGATCATCAGTCCGGGACTCTAGGGCTTCCCCTGCCCCATGGAGAGCCCCACATCCGCTCTCCCTTCTCACCCTGAGCTTAGCTCAAGTCTCTACAAACTGTCCCTCTGCTTTTGCTCCCGACCTCGGGCCCCAGACGGGCTCCGTGGTGCGGAAGAACCGTGCAGAGACCATACCCTCTGAATTCCCAGCCCTTCCTGCAAACCGCGGCGCTCCCACTTCCTGTGGAATCCAGGTCCGACTAGACGCCGACGCCACGAAAAACGGTTCCGGTCCCAGCCCGGCGCCCTCTCTCCCGGCACAAGCCCCACCCGTCTCGAGTCTCTTGAGCCTTACCGGCACCCGGCGCGGCGGCCGAGGAGGAAGTGGGCTGGGCGGAGGGGGGCGGGACTTCCAGAAGGAGGCGGCAAGTTTGAAAAGAGACAACCGTCGGTGGTTGATGTCTGTTGACTTCTGACTGGGCCTGCAGCAGCGCCTGAGCTCTTCGCCCTCCTGCGGGCGGCCGGCTGGCGCGGTGAGGGAACGCGAACAGACGCGGGAGGACGGGAGCCTGAGTGCGCCGTCCCTCCGGAGGCGCGGGCAGGAGCCCACACCCGGGCCTGGCGGTGTCTCGGTTGCGCGCAGCGCTGGGGCGGGGGGTGGGGGGGAGCGTCTGGAGGACCCAGCCCCGGGAGATGGGGTTCTTCCAGTTTGGTGTTGGTCCCAGAAACAACCTGAGCTTAGTTCCTGCGAAACGATGAGTGTTTGTTGCCCCATAGACCGTGTGAGGAGAAACTCGAGCTGAAGCTGGCCAGTCGAAGCTTATATTCATATTTTTTGAGCCCATTTATTTAGAAGGCGGTAGGATTGAGACGCTCGTCAGCTTTGCACACATCTCCGTTGCGCACACATCGCTTGGCCGGAGCGAAGGTGTCATACTTAGTCTAAGATTCGAAGGAAAAGGACGGTGTGTGTATGGCACTCTGCGTGCAAAGCACCTTCATTTTCCCTGAACGAGTTCAGGAAACTTTCTACTTAGTTTATTGAGGTCGTTTTTGTTTAGTCTTTGCCTCCCGGAATTTTTATTTCATGAGCTTGTTTTAGCAAAACGAAGAGTGTACGATTGAACAGGTTTCTGTCAGCATCCACTCTGTTCAGCTTCTGGGTGTTGCTAGTATAAAGAAACCAGAGGGATAACGAGCAGTTGATACCACCTACTTGCTAGGCGGTCTGAGGGTCACCCTACGTATATTATTACGTTGTTTATATGCTTTATCCCACTAGAGACCTCATACTGTTCAGCTGGAAGGCCTTTCCCCCCACCTCCCAAAAATGCATTGGAACGGAAGTTGTACTATCACAGAAAGATAGAAATTGGATATGGGAGATGATTCCAAAAAAGGAACATTGGGAGTTTGGGAAACATCTGGGAGGAGACTAACTTGAAACAGAAAATTCATTGATTTATTAAATATTGGAGTGTTTTAGCAACCAACAGAAAAGTTTGAATTTGATGTAGAGGGTAGGGTTACTGAAGTATTTTTGTAAAGATGTTACATGATGCATTTGGTGTTTATAAGGATTAATCTGATAGAGTGTGCAAGACGCATTAGAGAAGAATGTGCAGTAATGATTATGAAGGTATTTTACACCTACTCTTTCTCTCTTGTGATAATTTTTTTAAAGATTTATTCATTTGAGAGAGAGAGAGAGCATGAATGGGAGGGGCAGAGCAGAGGGAGAGGGAAATCCCAAGCAGACTTCATGCTGAACGCAGAGCCTGGCCTAGGGCTCCATCTCGTGACCTGAGATCATCCCCAGCACCGAAACCAGGAGTCTGTTGCTTGACTGCCCCTCTATCATGATAATCTTTGATCCGGATGTGGCTTGTTTTGGAAAAGTGACTTTTTCTACAATCTTTTGGCCAAGTATTTCTGTCAGTGTTTTTTAAATCTATGACTTAGATGAAGTTGAGGAATGTGTGTTTATGCTGAAAAGGACATTTAATATGTGAGGTGTCAGGATCTGGAGTCAGAAAGATGCTGACTATGGAATGAAAGTGTGAAATTATAAAATTCAGTAATGGGAGGGCAGATCCTTGCTTACGGTTCAAATAATTATGTAAGAAAAACATGGGGAAGTCCTGGCTTGATATCAATGGGCACACTGAAGGAGTTCCGGGAGTTTTCTTTGATTGTGTGTGTGTATGAAAGAGAGGGAGACAGTGACCGAGACAGAGAGTACGTGCTACAGTCATAGACTAGATTAGCAGTGGCCGATGTCTACTTATATTAATACTCTGCCTGCAACCTGTATCTGAAGTATTGCGTTCAGTTTGAGCGTTACATTTTAAGAAGACATAGACAAAATTGTTTTAGAGGAAAGTGAGTAGAATGGTAGTTTCTAAAATAATATCATGTAAGCAGTGGCTCTACTTAAATTATACTTAACCTTTGAGAAGAGATGGCTAAGCAGAGATGTGATGTCTTTCTTCACATTTTTAAAAGTGGTGTCATGTACACAGAAGTTAATGCATTGTTTATAGCTGCCCTGACGGGAAATAGGACCAGTGGGTAAAGATTACAGCAAACAGATGTCTACGCAGTGTGAGGAAGAGTTACCTAATCATGAGAACCACACTGAAGTGGAAAAAAGTTGCTTCGGGAGTTAGTGAATTTTGTGATGTTTGCACGTGTTCACGGAGAAGTGCAAAGTTGTTTGTCAGTCATCTTTCAGAACGGCTTTGCACATTTATCAGAGGTTAGGGAAATTGTCGAAACTTCTTTTAGCTGTAATAGTCTATGAAACATTAGGCACCTAAAGAAATGGATTTCCAGAATTTGGGCTCATTTCAGTTTGTTTGCAAAATTGAATGTATTCACATTGGGTCTTTTGAATTATGCTACTTCCTCACTGGGTAGGGGATCTGTATGTAATAAACCCGATATTGTTCACTGAGAGGCAAAGGCAGTGCTGCTGTGGCCGGTGCTCCTGCTCTTGCCACCACTGCTGTTCTGCCGGGCACAGCTAGAAATAAGAAAATGAAAAGGTGTCAGCTTCTGAGGGCTCAAAGTGTAGTGTCACAGTTCTAGAAACATCACAATACACTGTGGCAGGCGTTATAACAGTTAAATGCAAGGCTCTAGGACATGATTTCTTAACCTCAGCATTGTTGACATTTGGACTGAATAATTCTTTGCTGCGGTGGAGGTGGGGAGGGCACTTCTGTGCGTTGTACGTTGTTCAGCAGCATGCTGGGACACTTACCACTAGATTCTAGTAGCACCCCATTCCAGTCCTGACCCCCAAAGATGTCTCCACACATACCCTGGTGTCCCCACACCTGGGAGGGGAGGTGCGAAATTGTGAGAACAACTGCTGTAGGGAGACACAGGTGGGAGTATCTCACATCTGAGGACATTAGGGGAAAGTGGTGGTGATGGTAGCTGTTATTTTAAGTTATCTCTCTGGTGATTGAAATTCCCACCAATTACAGCATTCTGTATTTACTGTATTTTTTCACCTCTCTCTTCCCATATGCATCTTAAGTCTTATTACCCATCTCACTATGTATACATCAAATAGGATGTTAGATCAGAGTACAGTTTTATTATCCTTATGTTGATACTCGTTATATATAACACTTCTGCTGATAGCATTACCTATATATCTTGCCTTGAGGATTAATTCTCAGGACCAATCTTGTTAAACCCTAAGTCCCCCAAATTTAACAAAGAAAAAAACCCAGGAATTTTCACGTATATTCAAGCAAAGTCCTCTTTCCCATATGAAAGAGAATAGCATTAGGAAATTAGAGAATGACTGAGCCATTTCAGAATAAAAGATATTTCAGGACAGACACACATACACACTCTCTCTCTCTCTTATAATTTAGGATATACATATGTATGTGATTTGTGTTATCTTATGTGGGTGTTTGATGATAGTTAACACGACTATGAATGGTTCGACATTAGCTTGTTAGTTTTGCTTATGTTTATCAGCTTCCAGGTAAAGAGAACAGCTAGTTGTGCCATGTTTCTGACCCTTGCTTTTTCTTCCTTCCAACCAGCAGGAGATTCCCAAGATGGAAACTTTGTCTTTCCCCAGATATAATGTAGCTGAGATTGTGATTCATATTCGCAACAAAATCTTAACAGGAGCTGATGGTAAAAACCTCTCCAAGAATGATCTTTATCCAAATCCAAAGGTATGATGTGGTTGTGTTTGCATGTAGATGATGGTATTTAAAAAGAAATGAAACCACCCGGCCTATAGGATTTGCAGAAGGGCATGTACCCTACTGCTTGATGTGGGCCAGTCATTTTTAATCCAGAAGCAATCTCTCACCAAATGTAATTTTAAAATAATGTTAAGTTTATGTGTGAGGTGACATCTACATTTCCATTAGGAATTCAATTCCTTAATATGGTTGTTTTCTTAAAAAAAAAAAAAAAGAACACTTCTTAATCATAGATGTATTAAAGTATATTAAATTTTTTATTACTATTGGAGTGGTGGTCTGAGTGTATCATTTATTGGTAGGGCTTGAAGGAACCTATTCCAAGTGGTTTCCAACCATAAAAAGTGCTTCAAAACAATTCTCTTTGGAAGCTTACAGATTAATTTTCTTGCATTATGCCCCAAGGGGGGGATTGACTTGTTTTGACAAGTCATTCTTATTTCTTTAGTTATTAAACGCAAAAATGAACTATTTATATGTCACAGAAAATCCCAAAGTCTCCTTCCATTTTCCTGTGCTCATCTTGAAGTGATAACATAATAAAACCCGATCTAATGGTGTAGAACTCAAACTTTTTGATCTCAGTCCCTTTTTAATTCTTTAAAATGGAAGGAATAATCTCAGAATAAATGAACTTGCATATGAATCAGAACAAGTTCTACAGGCCAGTATTTGGCAGCTCCTGAATTAAAAGAGAAAACTTTTGAAAATGCCTTGCTACTCTATTAAATTTATACCCCCAGGATTATAGTGTTCACTTAAACTTTAACATCTCAGGAAACCTTAACATCTCAAGCATGAAATAAGTTTGCCCATGATCTTAAAAAAAAAACGAAAACAAAAACAAAAACACTCTCAGAGTGCCATTATGTCTACCTCATGCCTACAATCTATTTTGAAAGACTAAACCGTCTTCCCTGATGCGGATGGATTGCTTGGATAGATTTTGGGTATACTTGCTCTCATTCTGCATGTAAGCTTAAACAGCTGATCTTACTGAGCACTTATTACACCTGAGCAAACTGGCAAGTACACAGGTATTTTAAAATTTGGAAAAATAAAATATTTCAAGAGAAATAGAGTAATCTTATTACTCTATTTTTTGCATCCGTTGTCTACAGTGGCAGCTGTTGGTGATTCCGCTGGAGAGTCATGCATCGGAGTACTAAAAGGTTGTTTTTCTGTTGTAGCCTGAAGTCTTGCACATGATCTACATGAGAGCCTTGCAAATAGTATATGGAATTCGGCTGGAGCATTTTTACATGGTGCGTTTCAGACGAGGCAAAATTACTTTGTTTTGCTGCATTTGCCTTGTTCACACGGCATACTGGTTTCAGGATAGGAAGTTCTCGACTTCATTTTTAACAGAATCCAAAGGCTTATGTAAAATTAATGTCACTTGCAGAAAAATCTTAGGCATAATAGTGGCATACATTGATAGCTTTAGTAAGACAACAGTACTAAAAGACTTAAATGACACAGTGTTTTAGGGTAGTTATGAAAATTAAAGAAGAACACATGTAAAATTCTCAACATAGTTCCTGATGTAGTAAATGCTGACTTTACCCCTTCGTACGTTCATTTAAAAAATCCTTACTGAGCATGTACTGTGAACCTAGCATTATTAGTAACGACTCTAGTTTTGTGCTAGGATCTTTATTGTTAACTAAGTTTTTAACATTTAATGATAAACGTTATTTTGACCTTAATTTATGATTAACAGGGGGTGCTCAGGGGAGTGTATGACTCTTGATTTAAGGGTCATAAATTTAGGGAGCCTGCTTAAAGGGAAGAGAAGGTAATTTTGAGGTTGAAGATTTTTCTCATTTTATCTAATCAATGTGTAACTTAGGTCTTGTGATATTACGTTTAGATGCCAGTGAACTCAGAAGTCATGTATCCACATATCATGGAAGGCTTCTTACCAGTCAGCAACTTATTTATTCATCTGTGAGTAAGGGGTTTTATTTTTCCGAGACTATAAACATTCATTGTTTTCTTTGCATTAAGCTTCCTTAATGACAGGATTTTCTTGGAGAAAGAATTTCTGTCAACTCCCTCTCCACTCCATCAGTACACTGAAAATTGTAGACTTCCTTCAAATAGAACTAATTGCTTCCCTCTGTGGCACTTTCAATTCTGCTTTCAGTGGAATTTTAAGATGTTGTGAATCTAAAATTGTTTGGAGGTTTTGAGTTTTTAAAGAGTCCTAGTACCTCCAAAAGTGTGTGTTGCTTGTTAGAATTTATAACTATACGTTGGCATTGCTTGAATACTGGTGTAGGGAACAGAAAACAAAACTGTGCTACAGAGTTTTGCTTGGTAGTAGACTTCTGACTTGGTCTTTGGACATTGAGAAACATATCCAGGAATCTCTTGGAAAATAAAATGTTTATATCAAATGGTTTATATATAACTTAAAATATTCTTTGTCCACTTCATCTTTAAGGGACTCCTTTCTGCCCGTCTGTCGGGTGAATGACTTTGAGATTGCTGACATTCTATATCCAAGTAAGTGAGAATTCAAAACAATTTTAATATTTGACTTTAATATTTTACTTCTCCATCAATAAATGTAGAAAAAATTGGCTTTAGAAGGTCAATTTTAAGTATGAGTTTTTTCATATCCTATTACTGGAATTGTTTTCTCTTGAAGGTCCATAGGAAAGCTGTTTTTCTGATCCATTTTTCTTAACTCCTTACATTTAAAAGACATCCTATAAATTTGAAAGCATGAGTATGAGTAATATGCAACTGGATTGTGGATTCATCATACCAATTTGCTCCAATGTAGCAATTGCTTTTTACTCTGAAGAAAATATCTTTTAACAGTGATAAGAATAGTCTTGATATGATATTAACATGTCAATTTTTCTTAACTTTATTTAAATGTCCCTTAATCCTTTTGACTCTGATATTTATACATCAAGTTATTTTATGTTGCAAGAGATTCAGTGTGCTATTTAAAAATGTTTTTTCCCTCTTTCTGATCTACCTTTTTGTTTTGTTTATGGATCTATAATTTACACAAAATAAAATTTCAACAATTTTAAATGTGTAACTAAATGAATTTTAACAGAGGTACATGGTTGTATAGCCACTGCCACGATCCTGGGTGGAAATTCGATGGCCCTACAAAAGTTCCCTCGGGTCCCCTCGTAGCTGATTATTTCTGACCGAGCCCTCTTCCCTGGCAACCACTGATCTGCTTTCTGTCACTGTTGTTTCTTGACTTGTCTGATAGTTGATGTCAATGAAATAATAGTCTGTATTCTTTTGTGTCTGGTGTCTTAACTTAGCCAAATGCTTCTGAGATTCATCCGTGTTCGTTGCATTTATCAGTAATTCGTTTCTTTTTATTTTGGAATAGTACTCTATTGTAAATCAAAACTGTGATTTATTTACCCGGTGACCAATTGGTAGACATTTGGACTGTTTCCACATTCTGGCCATTGTGAATAAGGCTGCTCTGAAAGTAGGTTACAAGTCTTCCTGAGGTCATGTGTTTTCATTTCTACCTAGCAGTAGAAATACTGGCTCAGGTGTTCAGTATATTCTTAACGTTTTAAGAAACTGCCGAACTATTTTCTAACATGGCGGCCTCATACCATCCACGGCGTCTGTTAGGTTCAATTGCTCCACGTCCTCTCCTGCACTGATATTGGAAAGTTTTAATTTTAGCCATTCTAGTGGCTGTATCACTGTATCTCATGGTTTTAATTTTTATTTCCCTGATGACTAAAAGCAGCATTATTTCCATATGCTTATTTGCTATCTGTATATTTTCTTTGGTGAAGGGTCTTTTTGAATCATTTTTTTAAGATTTTGTTTTTTTAAGTAATCTCTGCACCCATTGTGGGGCTAAAACCCATAACCCTGAGATTAAGAGTCACATGCTCCCCCGACCGAGGCATCCAGGCACCCTAGTGTTGTTGTTATTGTTGTTGTTTTGTTTTTGGAATTGTTTGTCTTATTACTGAATTATAAGTCTTCTTCAGATGTTATAAAAACACATAGTTTATCAGATAGGGATTATGCAGATGTTTTCTCCCAATCTATTACTTGCCTTTTGAATATTGTAACAGTGTCCTTTGAAGAGCAAAATATATTTCCATTTTGAAGATTCTAATCATTGTTTTTTGTTTTCATAAAAGTGATTCATAAAACCATTTTTGGTGTGTACTGTTAAGAAATCTTGGCCTCAGAGATGCTAAGATTTTACTCATATGTTTTAAGCGTATCATAGTTTTATTTATTTATTATTTATTTACTTATGAGAAAGAGCAAGCGAGAGTGTGTATGTGAAGCGGGGAAGGGAGGGATAGAGGGAGAATCTCCTTGAGGTTCGTTGGGTTAGATCTCACAATGCTGAGATCATGACCTGAGCCAAAATCAAGTGTCGGACGCTTAACTGACTGAGCAACCCAGGTGCCCCAAGCATATTGTTCTGGCTTTTGTTATTGAACACTTGAATTTTTATATATGATGTAAGGTCAGGGTCTTTCTTTTTTATAGTTTTTTTTCTTTTTTGCATATAGTTATCAAATTATTTCAGCACCACTTATTGAAAAGATTCTTCATTTTCCCATTGAATTACTGTGGCAGTTTTGTCAAAAATCAATTGATCAACCACCACACACCTATTAGAATAGCACACATCCAAACACTGATAATATGAAATGCTGGCGGTTTACTGCCAGAGCTCCTGAGTGAGCTTTGGTGTTTCCTTTTTTCCGGGAATTTATCCACTTCTTTTCAGTTGGCAAGTTTATTAACATAAAGTTGTTCATAATTTTCCTGTATCTTTTTTTAAAATATTTTATTTATTAGAGAGAGAGATCATGAGTAGGCAGAGAGGCAGGCAGAGAGAGAGGGGGAAGCAGGCTCCCCACTGAGTAGAGAGCCTGATGTGGGGCTCGATCCCAGGACCCTGAGGCCATGACCTGAGCCGAAGGCAGAGGCTTAACCCACTGAGCCACCCAGGCGCCCCTTCCTGTATCATTTTTAACAGTCTTGGGGTTCAGTAGTGATGTCCCCTCTCTCATTCTGATGTTTTTCATTTGTTTTTTCACTCTTGTAGTTTTCCCAGACCAGTCTGGCCAGAGGCTTATCAATTTTGTTTATCCTTTCAAAGAACAGCTTTTGGTTTCATTGGTTTTTCTGTATTTTATTTATGTTTCTGTTCTACTGTTTTCTGTGCTTACATTGCTATTCCTTTCTTTCATGTGTAGTTTGGATTTGCTGTTTCCTCCCTCCCCCACCCCCTTGTTTTAGGTAGAAGCTGAGGAAGTTCATTTGACTTTTCTTCTTTCCTAACACAGGTGTTTAGTGCTATAAATTTCCCTTTTGTCAGCTTTAGCTGCATCCCGCAAACTGATGACCGATTGTTTCTTCTGTGTGTGTGGCTGCATATGCCCACATGCCTTTGGATTATAAATTTGATCTTGTCTTCAGCAGGGTAGCCTGTGATCTTCTGCTCCTGGGGTTGAGGCCACATCCCTCCTGGGATACTTCCTGCTGTTGGCAGTTGTTCCAGGGTTATCACTGGCCAAAGATCACCTCATTTGTCTCTCTTATGGATGGCTGTTCTGTACTGCCAGTCGTCTGGTGTCTGAAATTTTTTACTTTGTGTATTTTATCTGGTTTTCTTGTTGTTTAAGATGGGAGAATAATTCTGTTCCTTATTATTCTCTCTTGGCCAAAAATGGTTTACCTTTTTTTTTTAAAGTTATTAATGCAAAGATAATTCTGATCTTTATATTAGAGCACATTTTTTGCACTTTGGTTAATTATAGCATGCACGCAGTTTTGTTCTATGCTCTATGAGCAAAGTATATCGTGGGAGAGGATGAATTTTTATTTTTACATTGTTTCAAAGATTTACTTAAGAAGTCTTGCTTTCTGTTTTAGAGGCAAAACGGACAAGTCGGTTTTTAAGTGGCATTATCAACTTCATTCACTTCAGAGAAGCATGCCGTGAGACATATATGGAATTTCTTTGGCAATATGTAAGATTTAAGTATATTTTTGAGTCACATAACCGATTAGTAATATCACTTATGAACTACTAAACTATTTTGAAATAGTAGTCGCAGATAACTGTCATATGGCTGTTAGAATCATTTATTTTAATATTTATGTAAGTTGCAGATTTTTGTTAATGGAAAGCATGTATCAGAATGAGATTTTCTTTGCTATTGGATAGCATTAGGGAAAGGCTGGGGTTTTTTGTTCTAATCTTATAGCTGAGGCTCCTTTTCCTATATTACGTTATGTAAGGGGAGAAATAGTGACAAATGCATGTTTTTTCCTTTGGAGTTATACTGTAGTGTTCTTTATTTAATTGAGATATTTGAGGTTTATGTTTGCTTTCTAAAGAATGGCCTAAAACGATGTTTTGTTTATCATGCTGGCCCAACATTGCATTATAAGATCCAGTCCAAGTAAATCACTTTAACAGATGGGAACTCATTTCATCAACAGTTTAGAGAATTTGGAAAGATTATGGGTCATCCATGTGATTCGTTTCCATCTGTCCCAGTTTTGGGTTATCATATTCTTAGTAAAGTGCCAAAGTTAACACCAGACTATTAGAACTTCCCCTCCAGCGACACTGAGTTGTATAGATAGAAACTTCCTTGTACAAATCGTCAAGCTTAAACTTCCCAAACATCACACACTCTCCAAAGCTTCATGTGGATTTGCTAACACACAGAAACATACAATTTTGCTTGGCTAATTTTTCCTCATTCTTTTAAGACACAGCTCAGACGTCTATCATATTCACGAAGCATCCCGTGATGTTCCTCCCCAGCCATTACCCTGGTTGGCTGGTGTCGTTATCTTTAGTCCTGTAGCAAGTTGGTTTGTGGACTTAATGCATGTATCTGACCCTTCGAGGAGAATGAGCTACTTAAGTCTCAACTATAACTACTACTTCTTAGGTATTATTCTTGGCACTTAGCCCAGTACCTGACTATGGTAAGGACTCAGCATTTATGTGTGAATCAGTAAATTCCTCATTCACTCATCACAAATGCCTATTCTCTCTTAAACATATCTTAATTCTGATGGTGAAAGCTGGGGACTAAGCATTTTGCAGTGTGTACTGGTAGATTTTTTTTTTTTTTTAAACACATGTTGTTGTGTTTGTGTTGAGAAGCACTAATATGAAAATTGCTTTGATAGAAATCTTCTCTGGACAAAATGCACCAGTTAAATACTGCACACCAGGAAGCGTTAATGAAATTGGAGAGACTTGAGTAAGTAGGAGTTTTACAAATTAAATGAATATAATTTCAAGATGCAGAACGAATCATGAATAGTATTTGACAACCCTGCAGGATACCTCAAGTCTCCTTCTTCTTCCTCACTAAATAGCAGACTTTTTAAGTTTATCAGTTCCAGAGAAAGAAAAAACTCATTCTCCTTCTTTCTGTTAGTGTATCATATGTTCTTTTACTTTATTCTTGTTATTAGTGAATTAGCATGAGATGTTTAAAGCCATTAACTTACCTCCTAAGTTATGTCTGGAAGTAGTTATCTTGTATAGGTGAGCAGTGATTAAGTGGACTTTCTTTCTTTCTTAAAGCCAGTTAATTCTGTTAAGAGAGCTTTGTTTTGTTTTGCCTCATTGGTCCCATTGGAGTTATGAGTTTTTGGCCAGAAAGATCGATTTTGAGCAGAAGGATTTTTCTATCCCTTGTACTTTCTTGCTGGCTCTGAGTTTCTTTGTTTCGCTGGAGAGCTTTCCTAACCTGCTCTGGTATAACCTGCTCAGAGACAGCAGTAGGCTGCAAAGACTGGGAACAGGAGGCAGATACTAAAATCTGACAGGTAAATTTAATGTAAATGAAGTTAAGAGATAAATGACAAAGTTGGGTGTGGGTATTTGTAGCCTACGCAGCAGAGCAGCACCATCCCTAGTGAGAAAGCCTGTGTAATATTCCTAACACGTGGAGAAGCCAAGGGCAAAAGGATAATAGAAAAATGGGCAAAGGCTAAGAACAGGGGATTTACAGAAGAATGACTACAAATAGATAATTAAAAATAGGTAAAGATTATTAAACTCATTAACAGTCAGGGAAATGATCATTAAAACCATAATTCTGTGCCATGTCTCAAAACAGAAGTTGAGAACCATGTGCACAGCAGAGACTTACACAGGTAGGAGCTGTTAGGACGGATGGGCAGAGCGAAGGGAGTGGCTGATGTAGGAGAGGGAGGTGAGGAGAGGAGCCAGGCGGGAGCTGGCACTGGACAGGGAAGGGAATGTCCCACTGCTTGTATTAGGAGCCAAGTTAGAAAAGGCAGGTACGAATGCAGATGAGTCCATACGCGGACTCACTGGTGGAAGGCTGAAGGAGCTCATCGGATCTTTATTTTCTGTGTTGTGGAAGCCAGGCCATCTATTTTAAATCTCTGTCACGTGGAAGGGTGAGAATTCAGAAACATGAAAGACAGTTTTTTGTTTTTTTGTGTGTTTTTTTTTCACTTGAGTCATTTGAGGACAGAGACTATTTTGGCCTTGCAGAGTTAAGGACTCGATATATGTTATTTTCATCTGTTTTTGCTATGTTTAGTTCTGTTCCAGTTGAAGAGCAAGCAGAGTTCAAGCAGCTTTCGGATGATATTCAGGAGCTGCAGCAGTCACTGAATCAAGAATTTCGTCAAAAAACGGTATCAGCTGTGTTGACCTTAAAAATTAAACAGCCAGTTATCTTATCAGCAAAAATGGGTTTATTTGGGAATAGCAGAGAATTGCGATTTGGTACAAGTGAGCTGCAGGAAAAATCATAGACGAGTCCAACAAACAAAGGAGAGAGATGTTATTTTATGGGGGAGGAGGAGGAGGTTGGGAGGGGTTGTTTGGAATCAGAGTCCTTGGAAGAAAAGCAACAGTCCAAACACAGAGTCTGATTCATTATATCACAAAAAATTCTTCCTTTTAGACACTTTGTTTTTGCTCAAAGCTAGGGAACACGAGCAGAAAGCACGGCAGAGTAATTGCTATGCTAGAACTTCGAGAACACTAAGAGAACCGCCTTTCTTGGGGTCTGAAAAGACTAACGTAGCACGAGGGTGGTGATGGTTTCTCACTGGGGAAACTACGGGGTAGTGGCTTTCCTGTAGAGACGTGGGGGACCTCTTGCCCTGGGCGGGGGCCTAGTTGATGAGGTCCCTTGGAGTCCACTGGGCCTACTGCAGGGTGAGTGCTCCCCTCATGGCCTCTCGACTCCATGTGAGTGAGGTTTCATTGTATTTTCATAGTTGTTTGCTCAAAAAAACAAACTTTTTTTTTTTTTTTTTTTGTGGATGGGAGCGGTAAGAGCACGTTACTTTTAGTTACGAAAGCTCTAGGGTATGTTGCTGTGCCCGTTTGTGCTCCTTGTCACGGATGTAAACTTCTGTCACGTGTGGTTATCTATTTGTGTCGCCCAAGTTCTGTGCTGTCTTGTTGACTAGAATTTTTTAGGATTTGCCTTTTTCTAAACTTGCTGTTCCCAAACTGTAAGGAAGCACCGTGCACTTGGCAGGAAACCCTGCGGGGGGGCACTTCAGGATATTTTAAAATTTCACGGGAAACTGATGGTCAGCACATTGTGCTCTGCTTGAACTCCTGGCTCAAGGCAGTCCACAGTTCCAGCAGCTCCGGCGCCTTCCATTCCTATCTTTGTGAACCTGGGTTCTGGCTTTTGTCATGGTGAAGAACCAGTACCTGAACAACCTCACAGAACAGGAAATGAGGAAGTCTTTGTCTAGTCTGATTCCAACCTTTGTGAATTAGTGCAGTGCCCAATAGGACCCATCCAATTTAGAAGTAGTTGTGGTTATTTAAGAATGAAATAAACATTATTTTTTTCCAGTTTGTATGCATGACGTTTTCAAACAGCTACTAAGTTGTTAGGACTCGAGGACTTACACAGTACTGGGACTCCACTGCTTACTAAAGGAACCTTTAGGTATTTCTTGTGGCCTGGGGCATCGTAAACAGAAAGTTTGAGAATATCTGCTCTAATCCATTTAACTCCTCTCCTTCCTTACCTTTATTTTATGAGAAAGCACTGAGAGGCTAAATTTAAATTTGTTTTGGATCATCACAGAAAATAATTGTTGGCTTTTTTCCTTAGATAGTGCTCCAGGATGGAAATTCCCAAAAGAAGTCTGATATTTCAGAGAAAACCAAGCGTTTGGTAAGCATCTTTTCATATAACCAGACTTACGGTTTGAATATTTTCTGTGGGGGAGTATGTTAACTGTGTGCGTTGTTACAGTAAAAGTTTCTCCCTTTTTCCTTAAAATGAATCTAGTTTAACTTTTTTCAGGTTAAATATAATAGCTGACTACTGTTGTTGTTTTTTTTTAAATGGAAACACAGAAATGTGTGAGGAGAGTGAAAATCACCTGAAGGCTCACCACATGGTCTGAGATGTGCGTGGACGACATTTCTCTATGCAGAGCCATATGCAATGTTCCGTCAGAGGGGTGAGACTCTTCATGTCTCACACCTGTCTTTTTTTACTGAACCCAAAAGAGCATAAATACTTACACGCCACCGGAGAGACTCATTGTCTTAACGGCTGCTTATGGTTGTGCGTCACACCGAGGTAGATCCTTCTGGTGTCCTGTTGGTGGATATGCACTGGCTTCTGATGTTTCTGCTACTGGACAGCAGTGTGTGTACTGCACATCTACACACACACACACACACACACACACACACACACACACACACCGAGATCTGTGTACGGGGCTGCTTTTTTTCTTAGACCATATTCCTACTTGTAGGATTTCTGGGTCAAAGGGAATACACATTTAAAACTGACCCACCTTGCCAAACTGACTTCTAAAAAGATACCCGTTTATGTTCCTACCAACACAGTAGGGGTGTTCTTTTCCCCACCGTCTTGCCAAAATGGGAGGTTTGTAGTTTGCTTTCTCTGTTGCTTTTATAGGAAAAAAAAAAAAAACAACCCTCAATTTCATTTTGATTTTTTTGCTTCTTAATGATTTTGACATCTTATTCAATGGTTTGTGGTTATGTCTTATTTTGTAAACTACCTGTGTTCCTGGCTTCTTTTGTTTTTTTTAAGGAACTTTATGAATTGAGGATATTAACTACTTCTCTTTTAAATTCATGATTTTTTTTTTTTCCATTAGAAGGCTTAGGTTTTTAATGTAAAATTTATAAATATGGCCTTTCTGGTTTGTGGCTTTAATTCTATACATAGAAAACCCTGTCCTATTTCTCATGTTTTTAGCCCCATTGTACTGTTATGTCTTCCCTATTAACACTTACGCTCTAGAACCACCTGAAATTTACTTTGATGTCATATAGTCCTTATTTTTCTGTCTCTCATTTGATTAGCAATGCTTTCACGCAAGTAGTACTGACAATGTTTTTATTCATTTCTTTCTGTCCCACTTAAATCTACCGTTAAACAAAATCATTTTGTAATTATAGTATCAGGTTTAGGCTTCTTATAAAGTGAAGAAACGTAATGAAGGTCAACATCGTTGTGAGGAGGGTGGCCTCTGGTTTTGTAGAGGATGAAACACATACGGCCATTTGCTGAAATAACAGATATGTTGTGTCAAATGTTCAATTTTGGCCTCTGCATTAGCTGATCAAAATGTAAGATCATTTGTGGTTCTTTTTAGTTGAAAATCATTGGTAGACAAATTACAGAAGCCGTCCAGTAACATAGTCCTGTTATAAAATACTCAAATGACATACCTTTGTGTATGTATAGTGAGAGAGGGAGTCAGACACAGAAGGCCCTCTTCCCTGGGCCTGCTTCCCCCATAGGCTCCTCCCTCCCATCCCTTTCCATGACATTATGTGCTCTAATGCAGACTCATGCAGTTATCTTGCTGTTTCATTATTTACTTCCTAGAAATGGGCTTGTGTTGTTTGTTGATCTGTAATTGATTCTTTCACTTAATATTTCTTGGAAATTTTCCCATATCGATACATCGTATCTCAAAACAAAGTAAACACAATTCATCAGCTAATACTTAGGGAGGATGTTCATATGAATATTTTTTATCTTTTTATATAATTTTAGATTTATAAAAAAATTTTCACCAAATTCTCCGATGCCCTTCACCTCAATTCCCCGAATGGTTTAAATTCAGGAGAGTAAGGAAAAATGGGTTTTAATTCAGCCGGCATGTACTAAGTGCCTCCTCAGTGCCATGGCTTTGTCTGTGTTCTGGGAGAACAAAGATGACTTCTCAGCACCCCAAGCTGTGCAGTCAAATTCAGTCACACAGATTAAGTACATAATTATAGCATTGCATGTACAGTGATTGTGCTGTTCAAAGAAAGAACGCAGAGGAAGTGGGAGCAGGATTTCCAAGGATTAATGAAACTCAGGGGCGGTACAAAGGTGGCATGATGGTATTCACGAGGACCATACTGATCAAAGAGAGATTACGTGCATCTGCTCAAACCCAGGACTGGTATTAGCAGGCTGTAGGTACAGAGGGCACTGGCAGCAGAGGACCCCGTGAGGACCAGAGGAGTACACAGTGAAGGACCTTGAATGTCCTGCTAAGGGGCTTGGTCTTTGGCCCATAGACAAATGGGAACAAAAAAACAGGTGATCTTAATTTTTTCCCCACTACAATGAGCACAGGCCCAGTTTCTTTGTTCTTTTCCATTATTGTAATGGTAAGTGAACAATTTTGTTATTGTATCTAATATGTAAATATGTTTTCTCAACAGAATGAACTAAAATTGTCAGTAGTTTCTTTGAAAGAAGTACAAGAGAGTTTGAAAACAAAAATTGTGGATTCTCCAGAGAAGCTAAAGAATTATAAAGAAAAAATGAAAGATACAGTACAGAAACTTAAAAATTCCAGGGTGAATTTCCTTTTTTTGATTTTAATGCTTTTCTATATATTTTTTTTATTTTTAGCAACTTCTGTTTAATTATGTGTTCATTTTGTGATTTCCAGTTTATCCATACTTCTTTTCCTCTTAAGATTTTTGCCCTTGTCGCTGATATGTAGCTCTCCTGGAAAGTAGGTGTACGGAAAAGAAGTATAATTTCGAGACATTTGTCCAATGATGCAAAAAGTTTGGGGTACTTTGCCCTGAGTGATCAGAACAAAAATTCTCTGTTCTCCTGAGAGAATATATATTCTCTCAGGAGAATATTTCTCCCTTATATAAGGGAGAAAAGTATTAAGTTTATAATTAATGATATAATTACAGGTATATATTATGAAAATATATAGGGTGTACGCGTGTTGGGATTGGAAGTACATGGGAAATCCCTGTACCTTCTGCTCAGTTCTGCTGTGAATTTAAAACTGCTCTAAAAATACTTTTTTAAAAAGCACCAAAAAGAAATTAAAAAAAAGTTTAGGCTTCTTTGAAATAATGTAATGAGGGTAGCCTAATTTAATGTTTTGGAAACCTGGGGGTGGGAAGGGGAAGGAAGTAGAAATTGATGCTGACATTTGAAGAATAAATTGGTTATCCTACTAAATTTGTGCATGGAAGACCATTGGAGGCAGAGGAACAGCATGTGCAAATTCTTTGAGGTAGAAAGAAGCGAAGTATATTCCAGGAACAAAGCCTCATGCATACGAAGGGGAGTGACATGAGGTGACCATAGGAAAATAAGCAATGGGCAGATTATTCAGGGTGCTGGGTTTTACTTTAAGAGCAAGGGTACACCACTGTTTGGTTTAAAAGGGGTATGTTGGAACAATTTACGTTTAACAAGATGATGGGTGTCTGTGGGAGATGGATGGAGGCGCAGTGGGACAGAAGTAGAAGTGGGCAGACAAGTTAGCATCCTTGGTGGGGCAGGGCTTTTAAACCATCAATTACTAGAACTTTTCTGGTTTATCCCTGAATTTGCTGTTCTAGTCATTCCTAATAATTAAGAATTATCACCCAGGAATAGACAAAGATTACCAGAACAGAAATGAGAGCCAAAAACCATATCTGAGTATTTATGAGAAAAGTATAGTTTATTTAATAAAAAACAGTTCTGTTTCAATTGGCTGTTCACTTAGAAGAAAAGGGAGCTGGGTCTATATCTTGCACCATTTACAAAAATAAATTTTATGTGATTACTTTCTTATCACTTAAAATTATTTTATTTATTACTAAAAAAGAAAAATGCTGTTAATTACCTTGGGCAAGATACTTTCTTATCACTTAAAATTGTTTTATTTATTACCAAAAATAAATTTTATGTGAGTTGAACAATTTTAGAAATTTTAGGATAATGTTTGTGTAATCTTGAACTGGGATAGATTTAAAAAAAAATTAATATAGAGAAAAGGAGATCAATGGAACATGTTCATAAGGCGTATGAGAGGGAAAGGGATTATATCCATGACATGCAAAGAGTGGTTACAGATTGGTAAGAAAACGACAACAAAAATGAGCAATGGTATGAGTAAGGACTTCACTGAAGACAAAATCTAATTGATTAAGAAGGTGGGCGGAGGGATAGGCTGGTGGGGAGAAGAAAAGTAAGTTTGTATTGTTACAGTGGTTGTGGGGAACATGTTCATTTTCTAATTTTAGAAGAGGAATTAATCTTTTAAAAAAGAATCAGCCATAGTAATAGTTATTATACAGATGAATAGGAAGATCATAGTTGGTAATACAATTGCCCAGGAGCAATTAGGAGCAGTTTGAGTATTAGCAGACACGAACTCTTTTCAAGTCATTGTGAATAATCCGTGGAAGGTACTTCAGTGAGTGATTTAGTAAAATTGTGGCAGTTTTCCTTTGTGTAAGGATATTTGGCAATTAAGAAGCATAATTATATGTACTTAGACAAATGTCAGTAATAGCACTTTCTTAGTGACCTAGAAACTTAATTGTTCTCTGCTCTTAAGCTTTCAGTATTAAGTGCAGAAATTATTTAAAAGCAAACAAACTGACAGTACTGCAGTTTCATAAAGGAGACTATCAAACTGGTTTTTATGTTTCTTTCTTTGAAAGCAAGAAGTGATGGAAAAGTATGAGATCTACAGAGACTCCGTGGACTGCTTGCCTTCATGTCAGCTGGAGGTGCAGTTATATCAGAAGAAAATACAGGACCTGGCAGATAACAGGGAAAAATTAACCAGCATCTTAAAAGAGGTTTGTGTTATGTGGAATTTTAATGTTTTTATTATGGAATGGTTTACTATAGTTCCTTGGCTTTGCTTTTACTTTGTGTTACTGTTTGCCAAAAGGAAGGCAAAATCATTCTAGAGTATAATAGATGTGGCAGTATATGCTGAGCAAGAAAACATTTTTCTTCTTAAACACAGCAGTGGTAAGACCTATGTTAACCTTCAGATGAAATGAATGATTAATTAACATGGCATGTTGCCATGTGTATTTTGGAGGAAAGTCATGGAATTTTAAACCTGTTCTAACAGTTGGAAATGATCTTCTCACCAGTAAGCCCAGAGTCCCAACTCACGGCCTCACACCGTACCTGGGATTTAAGTTTATGCTTAGTGCCTGCCCTGAAGATAGAGAGCCAGTGCCAACGTTCATTTCCCCAGGCTGAAAGCTTGAAAATCCTTCTCTGCTTCTTAACTTTATCATAGTAACCCGCATTATCCCCAGGATCACTAACAGTGCGTTTGACAAAGGATTTCTTTTTTTTTGAGGAAGTAGGGGTTAGAAGGTGAAGTGGTCTGAGATATTCTATCCCAACCGTACACTCCCTCGTCTGCCATCCTGAGTCAGCAAAAGGTTGCTTTTAATGGTTCTAGGATTTTCCCTTTTCTCTTTTACTCCTCCTCCCTTAGTTCAGACCCGAACCCTCTCTGTGTAGCTTCGCCGGGGTCCTGTTCTTTCCTAGCATCCGCAGTGTCCTGCTCTTTTCTCCTCCTGACACTGCCTTCTACTGCTCAGCTTTAGGGCTTAAACGGTTTTATCTCACTTTCAAATTGTATCTCCGTATAGCTCATCCCAGGAAATAGATGTTCATTTTGTTTTTAAATCCTAATTGGTTGTATCGACTTTAAATACTTCCCGTTAACTACAGAGCCTGAACTTGGAGGACCAAATTGAGAGTGATGAGTCAGAGTTGAAGAAGTTGAAGACAGAAGAAAATTCCTTCAAAAGACTGATGATTGTGAAGAAGGAAAAACTCGCCACGGCACAATTCAAAATAAATAAGAAGCATGAGGATCTCAAGCAGTACAAACGCACAGTGATTGAGTACGAACTTGTTTTCAGTTTAATGTGTTAGACAGTAATTGGGAAAAGCTAGTCCATTTTCTCCCCTAGGATCCCAAAACTCTATAATTTCAACAAGGCATTCCACCTTTGGGTGACTAAAAAAGATGAATTAATTATGAATCTTACGGTGTTAGGTCGAGATTTAGAGCTGTTTTCAGTTCTAGATTTTTCCCTGTCCAGATACCACCCTTCCAGATCCTTTGCAGGATTCCCCAGAAGGGTTCTGGTGCCCCTGCCCGTTTCAGTGCATTTAGAGGAGTGGGCTGGGGCTGCATCAGATGAGTTACCCTGTCCATCTTATGCGTATAGCTGGGCTCTGGCATTATAGCATCAGTGTATTGAGAAAAGGTCCTATTTTTTTTTTTAATTCAGGTAAGAAGTAATATTTCACTAAGTGTTTTATGGCCGTTGTTAGCCAGCATGCTGGGGTATTCCTGTGGTAGAGCCTTCTTCCCGTCAGTTCTAAGAATGTATTTTTAGAATACACTCCCCAGATAGTGTATGAAATGTCTGTGTTTCAGCCTGCGACGTGGTGAAGATTTCCTTTGTTCTGGCTCGTGCAGATGAAGACAAAGGGCAGAACTGGCGGATTTTGTATTTGCTGCCAAACAGCCTTGCAGACAAGTTGTCCGAGTCCCATCCACTCCCCACGCCCTCATGCCCAGTAGTACATTCATGAGCTTGGCTGGGGGAGTGCACCTTCAACCTTAAAGTCTCCCGTGTAAATGACAGCCCTCGGCCACAGCACCCACTGGGGTTCACAGCTCTTTATGTCCGAGAAGGAGTTTAGGCTTGTCAAACAAATATATGTGATCTCTTTGGAACCAAAATTAGAGTTTCATGTTTTCCTTTTCGGATGCTTGAGCGGAATTAAAATTTAGCTGTCTGTTTTCCTTTAGAGATTGCAATAAAGTTCAAGAAAAAAGAGGAGCGGTCTACGAGCGAGTAACCACAATTAATCAAGAAATTCAAAAAATCAAATTCGGAATCCAACAACTGAAAGATGCCACTGAGAGGGAGAGGCTGAAGTCTCAGGTGAGTGGGTGGCCCCAGGTGCGTTCCTGAGGGTCTCACCAGCTCACGGCGGCGACTCTGCCTGCCTCACGTTCAGGATACTGCCTGCTCTCTGAAGTGGAGACGGACCCCCAGTGCCTTGGTTCCGATTGCATTTACAGCCCCTTTTCCATGACCAGTGTTTGTTGGGATGTATGCCTCCTTCTTACGTTTTCCCCCATGTCCTTCCCCTGACCTAGCCAAGCATCGTGCTCTGCAGTAAGAGTGCGGTGCTCCACAAGAATCCTGAGCTTTTGCTTTTAATTAGTTTATTTTTTAAACTTACATTCAGTTAATTAACGTGTAATGTATTATTGGTTTCAGAGGTCGAGGTCAGTGATTCATCAGTCTTACATAACACCCGTGCTCGTTCTGAGCTTCTTTGATAGATGAACTTGGATAGTGGTTTTAAGTAATGTCCTCTGAAAAGTTTCTGTAGTTTTGTTTTGTTTTTTTTTTGTCCTGATAAAAGGATCTCAAAAGTATTTCCAGGGGTTCCTGGTAGCTCAGTCAGTTAAGCATCTCCCTTCTGTTCAGGTCATGATCCCAGGGTCCTGGGATCGAGCCCTGCATCAGGCCCTCTGCTCAGCGGGGAGTTTGCTTTTCCTTCTCCCTCTGCTGCTTCCCCTGCTTGTGCTCTCTCTCCCTCTGACAAATAAATAAGTAAAATATTTAAAAAAAAAAGTATTTGTCACCACCAGTGTTAAATGTATTTGAGTTGTTACCTGAAACAGAGCTCATGTGATGAGACCTTCCATGATCTCTTTATTGTAATTGCCTAACGTTACTGCTTTTATTCTTGGCTTGTTTCAGTGTATTTATTTTATCGTTTCATAAGCAGTTCTAAGTTTAATGAGGACAGACATCCGCATTTCTGTCCTTCCAGAATGTCGGGACAGCGCCAAACATAGGTGTTGACCTCTTTCTTTCTTTTTCTTAACCACCCGTGTCTCCAAGAAGTCTATTCCTGATGTGTGTGGTATATTTCATTTTCTCTGAACTTTTGAAGTTTGGCCTATATCTTCCAGATTATCCCGAAATGCTCTACCAGAAATCACTAAAAACAGTCCTTTATCGGGTGAAATCCCATGGCCTCTTTTTTTTCCCCCTCATTCTTTTTCTCCTTCCCTTTGTTGACATATTGGATCCAGGTTTCCTAAAACCCTGATACCTGGGAAATATTTAAATACTTGCTGTCTCTACCTTCCACCAGCCACATCCAATTGGCAAGCAGTCCTAATACTAAAAGCCACTGTACACCATCCCCTCACCTGTTCTCCAGAACTTGTATCCCCTTCAGAGATGGCATTGCTGTCCGTGCCCATGGAAGCATGCGTAGACATACCCGAGCTCTGTCTCGAGGCTGTGAGAAAGGGACAAAGGAAGGATGGACGGAACGAAGGAAAACAAAAGTGAATGTCTTTCCCGCCATGGTTGACCCAATCTGCTGTCCTGACTTTTTGTGTTCTTTCCTTTCTTTCCCATTTTAACTACTTTTTCCTGCCCCTGAACTGGTTATTCACCAAGGCCCAGCCCTCTGTTTATCTCTAGAATGCGGGTTAGAAAGATCATGGGAGATATTTAATCCTACTTCCTAATCAAAGTAATCAATAAGCTAATATTGTTATCACATGGTCAGGCTTAGCTCGTGAACCCGCTACCATGTGCCTCAGCACTTTTGGCCTGTCAGTCGTAAAGGCACCCCTGCCGGCCTTCCCTCACTGTGTTGTGTCTGTCTGTGTCTCACCAAGAACGTGTTCAGTTTCTCGACAGTAGTGATCATGTATTTGCTACCTTAGTATGTCCTGTCAGACCATGCCTGGAATGGCTCCTTACGTGTAGTATGTTTTTCATCAGTATTTGTAAACTTGGATGGTCATCTAGCATGCTGTTTCTTAAAACCAGCTGCGTATTAGAATTTGAAAAGGAGCAAACAGCCACCCACCCCAAATGTCCTGAATTAGAATCATCAGCAACGGGGTTCATGAACCGGAATTTTTTACTGTGGCTTTTGAGAACCATTGATACGTTCTGCTTCATTGTTTTCAATATCATCGAGCTCATAACCACCCCGGCTGTTCTGCTAGGACCACTTTAGTGGTTAAAATGTTATTTCTTATTTCGAATTTAAAATATAATTTCTGTACTCAAGTGAACCAAGATCTCTCTGGAACAAATCTGTATCATCCTCTGCTTAATATCACTTCAGACATTTGAGGATAATGATCATGGGTTCCTCCAGCCTTCTCATCTGGGTTAATGAGCCCCAGTTTTCCAGCCATTCTTTATATAGCTTAATTTTCAGATTCATTACTATCCTGTTTACTGTCTTCTCCCCTCTGTTTCCTGTTTGTCATTATTCTGTTTAAAATGTAGGACCCAGTACTAAACATAGCCTTCCAGATAATGCTGTGACCAGTCCCAAAGCACTAGGCTTCTGTTAATGACGTGTGGTACTGGCTTGGAGTTTTAGCAGCAGCATCTCGCCCTTGGCTCATACTGAGCTGGTGATCAATTAAATGACCCCGATCCGTTCCACATGTAGTTCTGCCTGCTTAAATTGCTTCATCATACTTGAATGCAGCCATTTCTTGGGACTTTTAAATCAGAATTTTACTAGTATTTCTCTAAGGCTTCATCTGTTTACTTCCGTGTGGATTTCAAAGTATCAAGGTCATTTTAAATCTTTGTATCATTCACATTAATGATATTTCATGGCTTAGCGTCACCTGCACATTGGATAAACACGCCTTTTTCTCCAAAATAAAAATGTTGAGTAGAATTGGGCCCTTGGATACAGTAGGTATTTCTTCCTTCAGACTGACTTAGAGCAGAACTTTGGATACAGTTGTTGAAGTTGCTAAGTTGTAACTTTTCCCAGTCTGCAGTCTGCATTGTGATACCCATGTGTCCTGAGCAGCGTGGGAGAGTCTAAAATTACTGTAGCGAATCATGACGCATTTTTCTCAAGAGCTCCTTTTAGCTTCCTTCCTCATCCCCCTCCATGAGAAGGAAAAGATGGGCTACAGTTGCCCATTTGTTCTGGGTGCAGTTTCTGTGAAATCCTAATGATCACATCCCTTCTCTCCTTAAATATTCTTTCCCAGAGATCCTTATCTCTACTGCTTTCCGTTAACACCTTTATTTAGATCGGCTTCTAAATTGGTGTCCTGTTCTGTCTGCTCACCCCAACTCTGCTCCTTGGTGGAGCTGCCTGTCGGATGTTTTCAGTGTGCTCATTCATCACAGCAGAATAACATTTATAGAATGACTTCCAGCAGCTTCCAGCATCTCTCATCCTCGCTCTCCTTTCTTTCCCTTTTACTACACTTCTTCACAAATTTCTTCTTATGCTTTGATGGCATCATCATTTTTCCATCACAAAGAGTTGATATTTTGGACTTTCTATAGATAATCCTGACATCCAGACAAACACCAGGTTAGTGTTCGGATTTTCTTAAACGCCATTGATACTGTGCACCACAACCCCTTTTTGTTCTACTCCTGTCAGCTAATTTTGTAATGCTCATGGATTGTGGCAAAAACTTGCTAAATTTCTTCCTTGACCTAAGATTCTGTGCATCACATCTGCCCTGAATGCTAAGGGCTGCCAGATTTATCTACTAAACTATCCCTGTTGCTGTACTTTCCTGCTTCAAACGGGAGCTCCCGGTTTCCCTGTAGAGCACACTCTGTCCCTCGTTCACCTATGGCCTGTGCACCTCCTGGGCACCCCCTGACTCGGAGTCGGTCGTGAATAAGGAAGGCATGATTCTTGCCTTCTAGGCTTTTAAAGCTTTAGATCTAGGCTTAGTCATTTCCATTATTTACAATTTACTAGAAAGCATAGCCTCTGATTCCTATGACACATTGACATATCTTCGCTCTCTCTGCTCCCTCAAATACTCCTGGAGTGCTTTTCGTTGATCGCAGATCATCCGGGTTGGTGCCGTCCGGTCTGTGGCTACCGGCAGCGTGCGGCCATCTGCATTTACATTTAAATTAATTGTAATGAAAAATATTTAAAATTTAAAATTTAGAACATAATTTTAGCCATCCTTTAAGCTCTTGGTATCCAGTCTGGTCTGGATTATATGTTCCTTTAGGGTAGAAAGCACATCTGCATTTTCTACTGTACTTGGACACAGTGCTCCTTCTAGAAGGTGCTCAGTAATGTATTTGGTTGACGAATTAAATACATACTTGTAGGGTAATGATTGGCTGCAAAACCCCACGTGTATTATATACAGTTGAGCCTTGAACAACGCAGGGACTCGGGGTGCCAGCAGCGCGCAGTTGAAAATCCACATGTAACTTCTTACTTGCTAAAACCTTAACTCCTAATAGCCTGCTGTTGACGAATAGTCGGCTAGTAACACAGACAGCCGGTTAGCGCGTGTTCTGTATGCTCTATGTATTGTGTACTGGATCCTGACATTATGGAGGCCAGAGCAAAGAAAATGTTAGGAAGAAAATCATGAGGAAGAGAAAATACGGTTCTAATCTATACTGTGCAAAATCCGTGTATACGTGGACCCATGCAGTTGAAACCCATGTTGCTCCAGGGTCAGCTGTCCTCTTAAATTTATCTGATGCCAAAGTGAGGAAGTCCCTGGACTGGTGCGGCCCGGTGGACCTGTGTGCGGTGATGGGGATACACTTCTGTCCCGCTCAGTACGGCAGCCACTGGGTCCCTGTGTCTGCGGAGGAGCTGACATGGGGTGAGGGCGGCCCAGGGGCCTGGAGGTCTTAAAATGTCCGTTTTCTAGCCACAGGCACTGGCGGTTACCACACAGACACCACAGACCAGACTTGGATTTTAAAAATATTTCACTCTAGTGAAGTCATCACCGTAAGATGGATTTGTTTTGTGGATTAATAATATAAAGTTCCACTTGGATACGGAATTTAATGGGAACCTGAAATAGCATTTGTGAGGGCTGTGCTGGTTCCCGTTAACGTCCTCTAAGGGTTGCTTGTGACTTCAGATGTGTGCTTGCTTCTTTCTGTTGATGTGCCCTGGAGTGGGCTTTTTTTTTTTTCCTTAAGTCGGCTCCGTGTCTGGTGTGGAGCCCAGCGTGGGGCTCAAGCGCACGACCCCGAGATCAAAACCTGAGGTGAGATCAAGAGTCAGATGCTTAACTCCCTGAGCCAGCCAGGTGCCTCTGCAGCGGGCTTCCACTTGTTTCTGGCTGCTCTACCTGTGGGGTTTGGTTCCTCCATGAGAGTATCTCTGTTCGTGGAAGGAAATGGTTTCTTTAGGTGTGTCGAAGTGGCTGGTTAGGTGTTGAGATTGTGTATCTTTATCTATCCACACTGAGTCTTAACAGTTTCTTAGAAGTACTAGCTTTCTGCCAAATTTATTCCGCATCCTTTTTAGTCAGAATAAACACAGTCCTATGGAACTAGGAAGTTGAATTGATCTATGGCTGCTGAATGTGCCAAGTTTGTTTTTTCTAATGGTGTTTATACAAGCTGGCGACTAATCCTCCTTGTTTTTCTTTTAAGATTGAAGAAAGAAAGCTTTCAAAAAGTTTGATTTATTTTCTTAATAATTCGTACTCCATCATAGTTGTAGTAATGCGATGCCCAATTAGATCTTAGAGATCTAAATAGACTCTTGAATTTTTATACAGGACTTAATAGGGATCTGCGTCTGGGTTTTCGGAGCCTGTCGGCCTTAAGCACCCATTTGTATCTGTATTTGCTGACTCTTAAGCAACCGCTCTCAAACTTGCGTAGATGCGAGAGTCTAAAGATAGTTTGGTTCTTTTTTTGAAACACTATGAATTGTAATAAATTATAATCTCTGTAAGTTGTTCAAAATCGGAAAATATCTACACTAAAATTTAAACTAAGGTAAGTAGTAGCCAAACTATAGGTTTAAGAAAAATTTAATGGCAGGGACAATTAAAATTGAGGACATTATACTCATTTCCTGCTCCTTCCTCCCGTGGGAAGAGAACTGCTGTTTTATTTCAGTGATAAAAAAACCTATCAACTGAGAGTACCACTTCTTCTTGTGTCTAGATTTGAGAGTTGTTTTGTTCAAGAAAAATGAATAATACAAGGATCGAAATTGCACTGGATGAGGATGAGATAGAAGAAAGTGTTTGCAGGCTTCTTCTGTTATTGTAGTCCATCTGTAAACCTGGTTCTTTCATTTTTTCCTTCATTCTTAGCACATTCACATAGGTTCATATGAAAACTCATTACTGCTTATATAGAATTACCTGATGGGTTTACTAAAATGTCTCTCACGTGTATTTTTCGGTCGTACAGATGACTTAGCACATCTGTTGACGTATCTTTCAGTGGTGACCGGGGCCAGATGCAGACGGTCTAGGAGTCTGCAGTAACCCAGAGACTTGTCTGGACACGAAAAGCTCCAAAATAAAAGCTTTTCCTTGGCAATTACAAATATATTCCTCACGTTTTGAATCCAAGTCATTGTTGCACGTCTCTGCTCTGCTCCTTCTAAGTAGCAGACTTGTTCGATGTGTCTGTACCGCCTAAAGAAGGAACTTTAAAATTGAACAGGCACACGTGTGTGTCGGGAGGTGGGCGGGAGTGCATGTGAGATTGTTTAGGCTTTAAAATGTTAAGAAGTCTTAAAGAGATGACTGGAATTCTTGTAACTCTCATCAGTTTAGGATGACGCACAGGATAATTCTTACTCCATTTCATTTTCCACTTAGGAAATATTTCTCAGTTTGAAAGCTGCTTTGGAGAAATACCATGAAGGCATTGAAAAGGCCACAGAGGACTGTGGTGCTCAGCTAGAGCAGAAGACGGCTGAACTGAGGAAGAGGATGTTCAGGACGTCAGCCTGACGGGCACCGTCACTTGTCTTTCTGTGATCAGCTCACCGCCTTCATTTCACCTTTGGAAAGAGAGGAGTTAAACTGAAGTCAACAGAAGTATCAGAAGCAACACATGATGTTCTGTATACTCTCATAGGTTGTTCTTTTGTAAGATAATGCATTTAACGTAGACGTTTATTAACTTGTAATTCAAATAACTTGTGTAGCCATTCATATCTCCACCTCTGTACGTAGTCGGAATGAAACCAGAGTAGGTGCATTTGAAAGATGCAATTTTCCTGTTGTTGTCTGGGCTGTCGGCCTTTGTTTGTGGCCATCAAGCAGTGTCGTGTTCCTGAGCATTGCGGTGGGGATCTCATTTGATCCTTCTTGGTCAACTCTGGGTGCACACTTTTATTACTGCTTTATGGGTGAAGAAGCCGTGAGGGTCTTGAGATTAAACAGCTGAGTCAGAATGCGCGGGGCTCTGTATGATGCTGGAGCCGGGAATGTGCCCCTGTATCACGCTTTCTCACGTATCATTTGAAAGAAAGTTTGAGTGTGGGCTTCTGCCCTTGATCCTCAGCCTCTGACTCCGGCTTGAAAACTTGTATCTACACCCACAGCTCCAATCACCGAGACATCCATGCAACTTTTTCTGCATTGAGTACATGCAATTACATTTTGCCTTTTTGTCTTGAATTTCACACTTGCATGTCCAATAGTCAGTAGACGTTTTTAACCTTTTGGCATTCTGGTGGAGCCTAATGGATAGTCTCATGCATGTTTTTCATGCATGAAATGAGATACAGGATTGCAAGGGGAACCGATGAGATTCAAACAAGATTGTCACAATACTTAACTACATGTTCTGCTAAATAGTACGGCTAACTACACTTAGTCGGAAACCTTCCACTTTCCCTCTTGTGCACCTCACTCCTTTATAACATTCAGTTGGCAGAACTGTGGATCGAGGTACCCAGCTCGGCCCCTTCTCGTGTCTTCCCCCGTGCTTCCCCCATGCTGCAGTTTGCATTGTCCTTTCCTGCCTGAGAAGCTTATGCTGATCTCACCAGGCTCCCGGTCTCTACCCACCCCTACAAAGGCACTGGGGCATTCTAAACTTGCACGTTAGATTGTGTCAGTGATTTGTACAAAGTGTTTTGGATTTTCAAACTGCTGCTGGGATGCTGTGGTGACCCCACAGGGAACCATGGATAGTTGAAGTTTGTAAGGGAAGCATAGAGACAGTGGCTTTATTGGACGCCATTGCAAACTGCTAGCCCAGGGTGCTCACAGTTTCAGTTAGATCGCGATGCATTCCTTTCAGTGAAAACATCTTGATGAAGTGGGTTTCTGGCGTTTGCTGTGATAAGTATCACATTCTTAGGGAATAAGAAATGAGGGTGGTGACATCCAATTAATAATTGGTTATTTAAGAGTAGAATAAAGATACCTTCAGTTTTTGTGTTATTTTTCTTAAAACACACATTGTTAGAACAGAAATGCCTATTACACTGTTTTAATCTAACTACTTAATGATGGAACTATTGAGTGTTTGTTGTTTTTTTTGGACAAGGGGCACAGTGAAAGAATTTCCAAATTTCCCTCTCCCCACCCAGATACATAAAAAGCCACATTCAAGAAGCCCTCAGTATAATCCACATTTAAACTATACTTGGCTGTTTCAGTTGAAGACTGCATTACAAAATTTGAATTTTTTCCCCAAAGTCTCCTTGAATATATATGACGTCCTTGAGCCATATAGCTTTTTAAAAACCATATTAACAGGGCAACGACTGTCCTGAATGAAAGGAGAGAGCAGTGTGTATGTGACATAGGCTGAGGCCTGATCGTGAAGGAACTTCTCCCCATATTTAGACTGCAGGCATCTTTTATGAGTCTGGCTCGTAGCTAAATGTAGAGCAAATATTTAATTTCAAATTCAACTGGCATATTTCAAGGAACTAATCCATTTTATGACAAAGCAAGGGAAATTGAAATATGCACCTTGCAGGCTGAAGTTAATACATCTGATTTTAGCTTAACGGGATGTTTCCTATTTTTAGTAAGACCAGAAAAGTTTCATATGAAATTCCATTTCAAATTCAGGGCCCGCCACCGACTTCAATTAAGTTGGTTCTCTCCCTCTGATTGAAACCGTGTCTCATCTTCCTGCCCATATTGCCACCAGGGGGCATACCAGAGCTTGCATGACCAACGCCAGAATAACTTGATTCTAAGATTTGGAAGCTGGAAAATTTAAAGGGATAGTTACAGCTCAAAAAAAGTGTCAGAAAGAACCCGGAGACAATCTATTTACACTCAAGATGGGTTCTAAGAGGTAACTTAAAATTATTTAAAATTTTGCTCACAAGGATGACCACACAGCACCAATTTCAGACCCAATTTTATTATCTTTTTAAGATTATTTTATCTAAATCAACCTTCTAGTGCTTGGTACTGGATTTCTGGCTCAGATTTCATGAAAGTATCAAAACTGAGTTTCCCTGAGACAAGAATTTGAGATACCCCATACGAGGATAAGCAAGTTACTTAGGAAACGACGCTCGATAGCCACCGGCATTGAGGACTCTGGGGGACATCTTTTTTTTCTTATAGGATGATTAAGTCAGTCTCTACCACCACATCCTTCTCTAATCCATCCCTACCACCACCCCCATAGATCTCCGTTTGGAGGTCCCCTTGGTCATCTCTTCCTGACTGCTTTACCCATTCTGTTCCCATTCTGGGAACAGTCCACAGCCCTTGGAAGGACGATGTTGCGATGGAGGGAGTTCAGTGCAGCACAGCAGTTCTCAGACTGGGGGTGTCTAACTTTTGCCTGGGGTACTTGTCACACATGCCTTGATGTGTCGGGTCCCTGGGAACCTACACTTAAGACAAGTTCACTAAGTGGCTCTCAGAACCTCGATCCTCCGGGATCATTTTAAGAAGTGCTGCTAGGTGATCAAGCACTTGGCCTCAGAACCAGCCCTCACATTACTATCTTTATTATAAAATGGCAATAGTAGCTACATCTCTAGCTCGTAAGGACTGAGGGAGTTTGGGAAAACAATTAGCACAGTGCCTGCCACATGGCCAGTATTCCAGGGGTAGCAGGTGCCCTTATAAATGTGATTGTTAGTACACTGTTCCGGGGACCGATCTAATAGGCTTTCAACCTTCTGCACTACCTCCACGCAATCCCTGACACCTACTTGGTAATGAATGAGTAAATGTTCTCTGAACTAAAGGATCCAGTCTGCTCTGTCACAATGGGCACAAGATCCCAAAACAAACAGTTCTCGGGGAAGACATCAGCTTTGTATTTTTGGTACAAAGAACAAACCTCAGGACACTTTCACCTTAACCCGGGAAAAGCTGTAGGTGCATTTCTGAGAAGGTGCAAAGCTCCCTTGAGTCCACAGGGTGTCACTGCTCGCTCTTCTTTCCAGGTAGAGCGGAGGTGCGGAGGGCTCCTCGCTGAGCCACCTGCGCGCTCCACACCAGCTTCCCGCCCCAGACCCGGAGCTTCTGGTTCAGAAGGGCCGGGGTGAGGCTCTAGAACGTGCCTTTCAGTCAAGTTCCCAGGAGAAGCTGATGTTGCTGGTTCGGGGTCCCAGTTAGAGCTTTAGGGGTAGCCACCCACAGCCGGGTTGGGGTTTTTACAGGTCTCCGGTGCATTCAGGTCCCCCAGCGTCTTGTGAAGGTGGAGATGCTCACGTGGTCGGTCTGGGTGAGACCCCATAACCTGCATTCTACAGAGCTCGCAAGCGATCTGGGTGCCGCTGGGCCACACTTGAAATAGGACATTAACGGCCTCTTGTCATTGATTCCTCCTGCTGCCGGTTCTTGGCCCTTCGAGGCTGAGCTGATGCGCGCGAAGCGTTTGGCTCAACGGCCGGGCCCTGGTCACACACAACGTGCGCTCGTGGTCGTGAAGACCCGACATGTGGCACCCCTTGTATGTCGTTGGAATGCAGCCCAGCGGGTCAGGGCGCGGGTTTTGGAAAGACCCTGGAAATCCGTGCTTTCCGATGACCAGCCGAGTGAACGGGGCGCGTTAAGGAACGGCGCTGAGCCTTGGGTTTCTCGCGTGTGAGTCGGAAATTACGGTGTCTTTAAGCTGCTCTAAGGATTAAATCAGATAATAAACGCGGACTCCTTAACACCCTTTGTAAATGGCTGTTGTTACTGGTAAAGGTCGAGACACTGAGTTGATCAAACTGGCTATGGCCCCAGGTGACCTCTTACAGCTGGAAAGAAAGAGAATCTAAGCCAAAGAACAAGCCTTACTGTTTGTGGGATTCTGACTCGGGATTGTGACACCCACTACCCACACCAGTGTTCGTTTATGGCTATGGGCTCTGTTGCCAGGCAAAGGAGAGAGGATTCGGAAACTATAGAGATGCTGAAAGCCATCCTTTTGATGAGATCGGAAGGAAAAAATAATGTCATGGGGACATTAATATCTTCTAAAAACTTCTCAGAAATCAACTGCATTTTTTCCAGGAGGGCGAAGCTGTCCGTGTAACCAAGGCAACTTCCTATCAGTTCTCTTTCGGAGGCCAGGATTCATGTTTTCATCGTTAGAACCTAGCACATAAAGGAAGCGAAATAATATTTGGTGAAGAGACTTCACCATCTTCAAAGGCATAGTAGGCTGCCCCTCAGTAGGTTCTTACATGAATTCTCCACTTTCCCTGTAAGGTTCCTCTAAGGGGGCTCCCTCTGTTACAGTTTCAGCGCTCATGTCCCACATTCAGGGAACCCCTGCATTCTAGGCAAGCCAAGATGGTTGGTCTCCCTAGACATTTCTTATCCATGAAGTCCTATTCACCCCAGGCTCCCCTCCGTGGTCGGGCTCTCTTTATTTGCACAAAGTTTAGTCCCCCACCTTTGCTCAATAATTTAAGTGACAGCTACCAAGAATCCGTGATATACCAAGTCCAAACCGGGTGCATGGAGAGAAGTGAAAGCATAATTTCTGCTCTCCAGAAGTGTCCATGGATATTGTCAACCTTTTTTTTTTTTACAAACCCTTGTGTCGAGGGCTCTTGTCAACCTTTTTTTAAAGATTTTATTTATCTATCTTTTTTTTTTAAAGATTTTATTTATTTATTTGACAGACAGAAATCACAAGTAGGCAGAGAGGCAGGCAGAGAGAGAGGTGGAGGCAGGGTCCCTGCTGAGCAGAGAGCCCGATGCGGGGCTCGATGCGGGGCTCGATCCCAGGACCCTGGGATCATGACCTGAGCTGAAGGCAGAGGCCTAACCCACTGAGCCACCCAGGCGCCCCTTATTTATCTATCTTAAAAAAAAAGATTTTATTTATTTTTTTTAGAGAGAGGAAGAGAGCAGGAGCTGGAGAAAGGGCAGAAGAGACAGAGAATTTCAAGCAGACTCTGCGTGCGCTGAGCATAGAGCCCAACATGGGGCTTGATCTCATGCCCCAGAGATCACGAACTGAGCTGAAATCAAGAATCAGACACTTAACCGACTGTGCCACTCAGGCGTTCCGACGTTGTCAACTCTTAAAGACTTGATCTCCATCCAAATATTGCTAGTCTTCCTTTTGCTCCAATCCTTGTGTTAGTAATCCATGCCTCTGTAGCACCTTAGATCACCAGGCCCCAGATTCTCCTGGAGGAGCGAGGCCATCCTCTGCCAACGCAGAGAAGGATGACTTTTTTTGCTTAAGTTTTATATTCAGGGGAAGAGAAACTGCTAAAGTTCCTATGAGCGAAGATTCTTTTTCCAACTGCCCAGAAGCAAAGTCAGGGCCCCACATGCCCTCCCACCCTACAAAGTGTATGCCTAGAGGTACACCACTGTGCTTCCTCACACCCATCCATCTGTGGGATCTAGGCATTCAAGGAAAAAACTCCTGTCTTCTACACACTCAGTCAGAGTCCCAGCCCTGGCAACACATCCTAGCTCTCCCGCTTTGTTAAGCAAATGGAAAGGAAAAAAAGAAGCAAACATTGGAGTTTTAGCTAGAGATTCTCCCTCCTGCTGTGACTTTTTAACTATGCAGTGATGTACCTCATGTCTTGAAAGTTGGTAGTGTTCTAGGACTCTGTCACGCAATTCTAATTTCTCTTTATCTGCAATTAAAAATATAAAATATTAAAGATTTAGTTATTTGAAAAAACTATTTTCTTCCATATAGGATCTGACATTTTTAAACTTTTAACAGAAACAATCAGGTATCTATTAGCCATATTTCCAGAATTTTGGAGCCTGGAGGATAAACTACAGCCAGATGTGATTCTAGAGATATAGATATGTAGATTCTGGGAAGCACTGTTTGGCTCCCGAGTTGGGGTTCCCTTATAAGAAATACAAATATGGCTCTTTTCCAACTTCCATTTCTATCGTGGCCCTCTGGGGTTACCACTATCCCCTGCCCCATATGTATCTTGGTTCACTTCAGCTTTCCTTTGAAACTCAAGACCAGTCCATCCTGCCTAGTCCCAGTGATTTGACAGTTACATAGCATGTCCCAGATAGTTGACTTACTTTCCAAAGGTGG